GAGGACGTCCCCACGTCACTCGTTCGGGCTAAGCCCGGCCGGGCCCCGTGGGGGGAGGCCCGGCCACCAGGCGCTCGCATTCGAGCCCCAACCCCGGGCCTGGCTCCAGGGTGGGGCCCCGGCTGCGCCATGCCGGGCGACGTCACGGGACTAGATCTTGGTCTTGGTCTTGGTTGTGGTGGTTCACATTTAACTTGGAATGGATAAAACTGCCATTTCAGTTTATACTTAAACTAGTAATGATAAAATACATGAAGTAGGATACAAGCACAACACAGCTCTGTTTGAAGATTCAGTTTTCACTTTGATAAGATACAATCCCCACACTTGTGCTGGTGCATTTTCGTGGGGACCAAATCTTGCAGTAATATTTATTAGATTCGATGCGATTCAACTTTATTGTCATTACCATGTACAAGTACAAGGCAAGAAAATGCAGTTTAGCATCTAACCAGAAGTGAAATAACATCCTGCTTGCACTGATGAGTCCAGTGGATTTCTACTAACCAGGCAAACATGCCAGAGTTAACTTTATAGACCAAACAGTTTAGGTGTGATAGCACCTAATAACTGTACACAGTAATTTCAGCAGCGGAAACTCTCACAGATTAAAGATTCATGTTCTAGGTGGAAGCAAAGGCAGGATTTTTAGTCATTCACAAGAGATATTTTCTACTGTGTCAGTACTATAGTGTTATACTGTTTGAACTACATCAGTTATTTAAAAAGTCCTCAGACAACTTCTGTTACTTTAAATAACAGACCACGGGAGAGTCAGTTGAGCCATAATGCATTTAACTACATTGTGCATTATTCAAACCAGCATGAAGTTGTCTGTTAATGACCCTTCCTCAAGCTTTTTCCAGCTGTCCAGCTCCTTGCGTCTGTGCTGCAGTAGCCAGAAAGTAAATGAAACGTATGGCTGTCTGCAGGTCACCCTGCATACTCACCAGTGGAGAGAACTGGGATGTAAATGAAATGTCTTTATAGTCAGAAAAAAGATTTCCAGGTCAAGCCCAGGCTCATGGCCCACATTGGTAGTGTCACCATCCTTGTTGAATTTTCTTGTGTTTAGCTGAATATTTCATACACACAAATGTTTTTCTTCCTCTGATTTTTGTGCTTTGTGTTTCACAGTGGGGGAAAAAATAGAGCACTCGCATTATAAACTGGCTAAACTCCTCAAGAGCTTAAAGTGGCACAATTACCTTTTATTTTTGTGTAGAATCTTTTATCCAAACTTTTATTCGGATGCAATGTTTTTTAAAACAAAACAAATGAGCCATTCACAGAAGTTCATCATGACCAGTGCAAATATCCCTTCTCAGTAATAAATATCATATTACATAAAAAAAATGCAAAGTGAAGAGAATACAGCTGCTCTCACACACAGTCACAGATGTTTGTCTGGGACATTAGACTAAAATAGTTGTTAGGGTTACAAAACGAGCATGAGGTGTAGAAAAGACTACTGCTCCAGTTTGATTAGCTGTGATCCTTTAGTCCTGAACTTGGCTGAACTCTTTACTGTAGTTGTTGGCAGGAGATTAAAGTACCATCCCTAAAAGAAGTAACCTAGATAATTGAGTGTTCTAATTTTAAACCTTGGACTGTGAGGAACGTAATGCTTGGACTTCAGCCAAGCCTGAGCTTTTTCTTATCGACTTCATGATGAAGTGAGGGAAAATTCTAGAGGAGTTTCAAAGGTTACTTGTGTCTCTTCCAAGGAAGAATGTTGCTCCTGTGTGAAGCTGTGGACTTCTTAAAAAGTAACTAATCATGGCTGTTAATTTTCTCACTTAGTGGATTCATTTTGAAATTAACAATTTTGCCATCACAGTCATTTACAGATGATCTACAAATTCCTGCAATGATAAACTTGCATTAAAGAGTGTCTTAAACAGTACTGTTGTCTGAAAATGATTTTAGATATTTATTATGTAGTATGTTGACACCAAGGTATATGGATGTAGAATGTAAGTAGTAAGTCAAAGCAGATTTGGAAAATAAAGCAGATGCTATTTTTATTGTAGTTTCACCAGAAGACATTAAAATGCCAATATTTAACATTTTCAATGTGAGAATGTTTTAATCTCATCAGTTTTGAATAATTACAAATGGAAATGTTTTAATATATTTAAACTCCCTTTTACCTTAAAATTTTATAGTATTCAATTATAAAGGAAAAAAAGCTTAATTCATTTTTTGCCTGTTACACTAAGTCCTACATATTGCTGGGCATTGAACTTCAGTACTTTTATGATATTGATTGAATTACGTCATTTCAATTCCTTGCCATTTTACAATACAATGGCAAAATAAAACGTATTATTTTTTGTTAAAATTGATTTTATAAAATTGGTTTAGAAAAAATTATCGATTAGGAACCGGTATCGAAGTCAAGGTATCGATACTGATGTCAGATATTTTAGAGTGATACTCAGCCCTGGTCTTAAATAATCTTCAAGACAGCATAAAAAAAATCTTAAATCTGGCTTTATAAATTACACAATAATCAACTCAACCCCTGTCAGGTTCAGTTCACTAAACTGTAATAACTTCCACAGCGTTTGATGACGAGATAGTAGTTCCTCTTTAATTCCAGTTCCAACCTCTTACACTTCTCCTCTCTTTCCAGCGGACCGTAAAAGCTTCTGCACCATCCACAGCACGGGCTACCTGAAGAGCTGGCCACCCACTAAGATGGGACTCGACGAGGACAACGAGTCTGACAATGAGGGCTGCAACCTGAGCTGCCTGGTGGCCATCGGTCGCCTGCACCCGCACATTGTCCCCCAGCCCAGCCTAGCTGACATCAGGGTCAAGCCTACAGAGTACGTCTCCCGGCATGCCATCGATGGCAAATTCGTCTTTGTTGACCAAAGGTGAGACCCAGTAGAAGTGGGGGAGGTTTAACAGGGTGGTATTTCATCTGTAACCTGAACACAACCTCCCTGTCTGTGTCTGTTTGTTCCACCAGAGCCACAGCCATCCTAGCCTACTTGCCCCAAGAGCTGCTGGGAACCTCCTTCTATGAGTATTTCCACCAGGATGACATTGGCCACCTGGCCGAGTGCCACAGACAAGGTACCTGCTGAGAGACGGGCACAGTAACTGAAAGAGCTTAACAGAGAAAGGGCTTGCCAACCAGCATCTGGTGGCTGGTCCTCAACCAGCCCAAAAAAATTACCATGGGCTCACCACCCGCAGGGAGAGCCATCAGGGTCCAGTGCACTGAGCAGGAGAGGTCAGGGACCTAGGCTTGTCAGTCCCCTGACATAACAGACTGAGTTGAAATGTCTTTGGCGAGGAAGGAGCCTGGGCTGGTATGGTAGTTGGTGCCAATTTGTTGTTATAAGGCTCATCTCCATGCACAGTACTGACTCTGAAACCAACTTCCTGTAAGGTGTCTAGAATGGCACCAACTAGGTGTGGGGGTACTTATCAGGCCCTGATTGGGCGCTGTGGTGTTAGTGTGTTGGAGTCTCCCAGGAAGACGTCCCCAGGGAATGAGAGGGTCACCTCCACCTGGCTGTTGCTAAGATAAAGGCTCTGACTGCTATCTGTGCTTATGAACCAAATAAATGTTCAGAGAAATCCCCCCTCTGGGTGACTCTGTTTAGGGTCGTTGAAAAGGTTCCACATGGGGACGTTCTGTTGGGGATGGTGACCTTCAACATGCACTGAGTGAAGCAGCTGGAATGCGAGTCAGCACCTCTAAGCCTGAGGTTGTGGTTCTCTGCAGATTGCATACCCCACCTGAGGGAGTTCATGTATTACCCAGGCTTGTTCTTGAGTGAGGGCAAAATGGAGTGGTCTTAACCTGCTGCCCCTGCAGCCAATTTCGTACGAGAGGCAGAAAACGAATGGATAAATGGAAGTCATTGAGTGAAATCATGTTCTCTGTGTTTTTCTACTCACCCTTTATTCACACACTTACTGTTTTAACCTTGCTGTTTATAGTGCTACAGATGAGAGAGAAGATAAATACCAACTGTTACAAATTCAAGATCAAGGACGGCTCATTCATCACGCTGAGGAGCCGATGGTTCAGCTTCATGAACCCGTGGACCAAGGAGGTGGAGTACATCGTCTCCACCAACACTGTTGTGTCGTAAGTATTGGAGGACACACAAACACACATTTCTAAAATTGATTTATTTGTAGTTGAACTAGATTTTTTTTTTATTTTAAAGCTGCACACACTTGGCTGTGAAATACCAGAACCATTGCATGTTTGTTTGTCCAGGTGTCCTATGATAGAAGGATCAGACTACCCTCAGTCTGCTGCCTCACCACAGATCATGGACAGTGTTCTCACCTCAGAGGGTAAACGCTGTTTAAACCTTTTAGCACTCCAAGTTTGGCTGATTTATCAAAAATCACACAACCCTCATCAGTCACATTGTGAAACAGTTTTGAATTCTCTTTGTCCTGATTGCTGTTTGAATGCTAGGTGGGGGGAGGCGGGCGCTGCAGACTGTGCCTGGTATCCCTGGTGGCACGAGAGCGGGAGCTGGCAAGATCGGGCGCATGATTGCAGAGGAAGTGATGGAGATCCAGAGGTGAGAGCAGATGAAACTATGCACTTCTATCCTGAAACCAGCCGAGCTGAAAACGTCTGTTTGGTCCTCTGATGTAAAATGCCTGTGGCCTAGTTTGTAATGTTCAGTGGAACACTGGTTAAACTGTATAACAAAGTGATACTCTCTGAAGATGATGATGCAGGTGAAACACTTTTACAGAACAGACATTTTATGTAGTGAATAATTCCTGATCTTTAGAAAAATGTGCAGCAATAAGATGTAGTAGTACCATAAGCTGTTCACAGTGTAAATAGGACAGTCCACACTTGTGCTGACTCAGATAGCTGCTGTGCTACTTTCCCCACTCACACTGTAGATTGCTGTAGAGGTAATCTGCATGTATTGTCATGGCAACGCTGACAAATTCAGTGCAAATGTTAAAAAGCTGCATGTAGGTCACATGTCTAGTTCGAGACATTTGGAGCTGATAAGAGCAGGTTTTGCAGTCAGATGCGAGTGTGAGGTGTGTTTCAGAATCACCACAGCCGTCTGTCTGTCTCTGTCAGGATTCGAGGATCCTCCCCCTCCAGCTGCGGCTCAAGCCCTCTGAACATCACCAGCACTCCTCCACCTGACACCTGCTCCCCAGGGGGAAAGAAGGTGATGTGCACCACTTCTGTTGTCCACATCTTCATTTCACTAAAGCCCTGCAGGCCTCTGAAGGCAGAAGACACATTTGTTCATAAATCTACAGCCTCTGATTTGAGAAGTTCCTCACCAGAGCGTTGTGCCATCATGCACGGCTGTGCACTATTTTCTTTCTTTAAATTGCATATAAATGAAACCAGGCTGTTACAGAACAACCCCATGCAATCCTACACACATCATTCCTGGTCCGTTATGACTCAGTATTTGGCTGTTTTAGTGGGAGATGTCATTTAACAGTATGGTGTGTCAGTTTATAACGTGAGGCAGTAGAGATGACACTGTAGCATTGGACTCATGTAGTCATGTAAATGTCCTCAGCATTTTTTAAATTTATTTCTGTCATTTAGAAGTTAAAAACCAACTCCGTCTGCCTCTGCCAGCTACCTTTGATACGTCTGTGTAGATATTTGCTCTTTTTTTGCCTGAACATTACTATTGTCACTACTTCACTAGCACAGTCACATCTGTTCTCCTCGATAACAGACGACGACACCTCAGTCTAAATGACATCTCTCAGCTCTCGGGCAGCTCTGAGCCACGTGTGTTAACAGGTATATCTCACACAGTTCTTTCTAGGTTGATGTAAACCTGCTGAGACGTGGCACTTACAGTGCCTTGCGAAAGTATTCGGCCCCCTTGAACTTTGCGACCTTTTGCCACATTTCAGGCTTCAAACATAAAGATATAAAACTGTAATTTTTTGTGAAGAATCAACAACAAGTGGGACACAATCATGAAGTGGAACGAAATTTATTGGATATGTCAAACTTTTTTAACAAATAAAAAAACTGAAAAATTGGGCATGCAAAATTATTCAGCCCCCTTAAGTTAATACTTTGTAGCGCCACCTTTTGCTGCGATTACAGCTGTAAGTCGCTTGGGGTATGTCTCTATCAGTTTTGCACATCGAGAGACGGAAATTTTTGCCCATTCCTCCTTGCAAAACAGCTCGAGCTCAGTGAGATTGGATGGAGAGCGTTTGTGAACAGCAGTTTTCAGTTCTTTCCACAGATTCTCGATTGGATTCAGGTCTGGACTTTGACTTGGCCATTCTAACACCTGGATATGTTTATTTGTGAACCATTCCATTGTAGATTTTGCTTTATGTTTTGGATCATTGTCTTGTTGGAAGACAAATCTCCGTCCCAGTCTCAGGTCTTTTGCAGACTCCATCAGGTTTCCATCCAGAATGGTCCTGTATTTGGCTCCATCCATCTTCCCATCAATTTTAACCATCTTCCCTGTCCCTGCTGAAGAAAACCAGGCCCAAACCATGATGCTGCCACCACCATGTTTGACAGTGGGGATGGTGTGTTCAGGGTGATGAGCTGTGTTGCTTTTACGCCAAACATAACGTTTTGCATTGTTGCCAAAAAGTTCGATTTTGGTTTCATCTGACCAGAGCACCTTCTTCCACATGTTTGGTGTGTCTCCCAGGTGGCTTGTGGCAAACTTTAAACGACACTTTTTATGGATATCTTTAAGAAATGGCTTTCTTCTTGCCACTCTTCCATAAAGGCCAGATTTGTGCAGTATACGACTGATTGTTGTCCTATGGACAGAGTCTCCCACCTCAGCTGTAGATCTCTGCAGTTCATCCAGAGTGATCATGGGCCTCTTGGCTGCATCTCTGATCAGTCTTCTCCTTGTATGAGCTGAAAGTTTAGAGGGACGGCCAGGTCTTGGTAGATTTGCAGTGGTCTGATACTCCTTCCATTTCAATATTATCACTTGCACAGTGCTCCTTGGGATGTTTAAAGCTTGGGAAATCTTTTTGTATCCAAATCCGGCTTTAAACTTCTCCACAACAGTATCTCGGACCTGCCTGGTGTGTTCCTTGTTCTTCATGATGCTCTCTGCGCTTTAAACAGACCTCTGAGACTATCACAGTGCAGGTGCTTTTTTATTTGTTAAAAACGTTTGAAATATCCAATAAATTTCGTTCCACTTCATGATTGTGTCCCACTTGTTGTTGATTCTTCACAAAAAATTACAGTTTTATATCTTTATGTTTGAAGCCTGAAATGTGGCAAAAGGTCGCAAAGTTCAAGGGGGCCGAATACTTTCGCAAGGCACTGTAAATGTAGTATCTGTCATTTTATTTTGAAGGGAATGTGCTGAAGTGCAGGGTCTGAAGAAAATGTAACCTGTATATCATTTCCTCATTTTATTATAGCTTGCCTTGTTTAAATGTATTTAACCTCTCATCAGCTTTTTGCTTCTGCTGCTGTAAAATGTGAATTTCCCCCCAGGAGTCAATGAAATCATATATTACAGTTATGTTAAAACTGCTTGCTACCTTCATAATTCTCAAAACAAAATCTAGTGACATGACAGTTCATAATGCTGAAAAGGACGTGGATGACCCTCGGGTAACACGTGGTTCCCATGAGCCCCAGCGTCCATCCTTTGAGGACAACACACACACACATTTACAGCTCAGGGTGAAACTGATCTGTGTGTCACAACTTTAGATTCAGAATGGAGGGACACCAGAGCTGCCAAGCACAGGAATCATTCCTGGACCTGATTCTGTTGGTTACCCCTACTCCAACCAGTCTATCATGAGTGAGTTGTACACAGACAAAACACACTTTCTATACCATTTCATTGGGTTTATTTGGCTGTTCATTTCCCCACCTCCTTTTTTTTTCCTCAACAACTTGTACTCCACCCAGGTGATAACTCCCACCTGAGCATAGACATCATGGACGAGCCCGGTTCCAGCAGCCCCAGCAATGACGAGGCAGCCATGGCAGTCATCATGTCCCTGCTGGAGGCGGACGCTGGCCTCGGTGGCCCCGTTGACTTCAGCGACCTGCCCTGGCCTTTGTGAGGAGCCTGGAAGGGAAGAAGCAGAGAGGGACAAAAACGGAGAATGTCCCTCTTTGCACCAGAGCCACTGATGGAGAGAGTTCGGTCAGGTTGAAGTCTGGCTCTCATGTTTCCCGCCCACTGCACACAACTACGCTGAAAAAATGTTCATCTTAACTAGTTCTTTTTTTTTGTTAACTGAAAGGAGACTATTCTCTGAACATTATTGAGCACAGTTAAGTTTGGATGGCTCTTGCTGCTGTTCAGATTCCACTCCTACTTTGTGATTCTTCATTCCCTGCCAGTGGACCTGAATTTCATCCAGGCAGAAGGATTTTTCTAGAAAACGTCTGTTCCACATGAGGTGCTAAGATGATCAGTTTTTGTTGTGCTAGTTGTCTGTAGATGAGGCATTCACTGACATGACCATAGTGAGAGAGCATTACTCTGGCAAATGGAATCACAGGTGAGTTACAGGTGTGTGGTGCTAATGTGTCCGCTGACAGACTGAGCTCAGTCTAACAGTGGCTCTGGGTTAGGGTTCCTCACCAGCCCCGAGACATTCACAGACACTGATTGAAGTGTGATGTGCGTTGGAGCGGTGCTGGGGTGGGGGAGTGCTTGAGCTCTGCCTCCCGCCACAGCCCTCCCAACATCTCTAACTGTATGTTCGAGTCTCCTAGTAGGATGTCAGTGCTGTACAAACACTGGTGCACTTCCAGCAGCTGATCTTCGAAATCAGCGTGGGAAATGAGCATGTGGCAGTTATCCTCTGGAGATTTGCTTGGAATATATATAAAGTCCTGTATTCCCACAATTCCACATACATGTATTTCGGTTCAGTTAAATAATGATATCTGATATGAAAAAGCCACCTAGCTTCTGTTTCCTTGACTAACATGAACATTAACAACTTTTTCTCCAAGTGGTTCTAAACTTTTTCTCTAAATTGTAGTGAACCAGAAGAGAAGAGCAGATTCTCTTTTTTTTTTCCTGAGTTTAAAACACAAGCCAAAAGGATCTGCCTAAAACTACCTGCAACGTGTTAGTTGTGATGATACTTTTTAAAGCTGTCCAAAAATACTGCTCATACAGTTCGTTTTGCTGCACCCGGTGATTCACAGGACTTGCTCAGTAGAGGTCTTCACAAGTCCAGTTAGGGGTCCCATCCTAAATGAGCCGCTGTAACACCAACCTGATGGACATAAAAAAAGGAACGCTGATCTGAAAGGGACGGTAGTTTCAGACGGGAGTCCCAAAGACCATAACGTCAACGCTGTTGGCAGCATGATGCACCACAGTTGAATAAATATTAAAGCTTGAAATTGAATGTTGAGGCTCTTCCAATTTAAACTGAACCAAATGGCTCAAACCTTGAAGATTGTTTCTGACATACAGAAAATAACACATTTTACAATCTTTGCTTGTATTATGGTTTGAGTGCATGAGAAGAGACCAGAGGAGGTATGGGTCCTTCACACAACCCAAGTAGACCGAATAGAATTTGAACCCCATTTGTTACCAGAACCCCAGGTGGCTCTGTGCGGACCTCTACTGCTTTGTTGTCTGTGTGTGCTCCATTTCAGCTGCCCAACCCCTGGAAGACTTTCAGTTTGCATAATGAGCAGCTAGCGATAGAACAGGGGACAGCAGGAGTGAATCAGTCTTGAATGGGGGCACTGGAGGTTAGGTGAGTCTGTTGAAAGCAGCAGTGTGAAGGGGTGGGGGGGGACTGGGGATTCACAGCTGTAGGGCTCAGCTTCCCTCTGCAGGTGTTTGCCAATCTCAGAAGAGAGCAATTCACCTGCAAACCAAGACAATTCAAGTGCTCCTCCTTGAGGAAATGTTGTTCACTGCCATTGCACTGAGGCCTGCTCCTCACACACTTGCTTTTTATAGTTAAACATGTGGTCAGGGTCACAGGGTCTCCACCTGCTCCTCCTCTTCTACACAGTCCCCATGTGAAGCACTTAAGATGCAGTAAGACTGCCAGCCACTGAACTGGATTTCCTCTCTAGGAGAACTGACTCTGGGTCAGTTTTCCAAGCCTATATGTCTTTTCCACAGTGATATGAATATTTCAAAACTGGCCCAAGATGTCTAAAATTGGTGCCTGGGCTCAGATTGAGCCCTGGGAGAAGAAAATGGGAAGAGGTCACCGTCTCATTTGTTTGGCTGAGGTTGGGACGAGTTCAAGTCAGATACCTCAGAGTTTAATGATTCTGCAAGATCAACAGTATGTGGATAAAAAAAACAACAACTTGAAGTTCCTCTTAAATTTGCTTTGTTCAGCACTTATTAATGTAATTGTCAACACAAACTACCTTTTTAGCAGCGAGGGCTATAATGTAGATGGGGGCAGGGCAAATACAGGAACAGATGAGAGTTGGTACAGTCTGTGATCATATCCTGTGACAGCAGACGGAATCAGGAGGGGCAGCCACCAGTGTCTGAACGCTGTGCTTCACGTCCAGGTCCACTGTCCCTCCATGAGGAGTTACCTCAGCATGCCACGAGCCTGCTCCTACGCCTTTTTGTTGTTAGCTGGGTTGGAGGCAGACGTGTCAGTAGGAGTGTCATGGCTGAAAATGACTGTGTGGAATATGTTTTGGGCTATAACACTTTCTGCATGCATTGAATTTTCAGAATGCATTTGTGAAATTATTTCAACTAATGCAAAAAAATGAGAAGCATTTTAGCAAACTTTAAACTTTATATCATCTCAAATATACAGAGCAAATATTTAAAGAAATGGTTTTGTCTGGACTCCAGAAGCCTAGCAGCCACTTTGTGAAGGCTAGTGGGATGGGATCCAAATTAAAAACATCTTTTTGAAATGGGGGGTTCTGTCCTGCACTTGTCAGTGATGTGTTTTAATACATTTTCCAAACAAGTGCATAATATGATGTTCTAAATTATACTGCTTCTACATTTAACATAAGCTAGTCATTATTTTATGCAGGCGCTACGTTTGCATATTCGTATGCATTTTAAAATTTGCACTGCATCCTAAATACAGTTGTAGCCCCAGTTTGTGCCTCTTATATATTATCTCAAGTCATAGAACTAAGCCAGCAGCTTTTTCTGAAAGACAAATACCCTGCAGTTTCAAACCCAGGAGGCTGTACAACAGTGTACAGCTGTTCTGAAGGTGTTCGAAGACTCATCTGACCTTCTGGGTTCAAAATAGTCTCTCTCATGATTCAAAATTACTATTATATTGAACTTTGTTTCATCTCTTTCCCCTAAACCAGGCAGTTGGAGATGTTCACTTTGTAAAATACAACTGTGTTGCTGTTGCTGATGGGGGGGGGGAAATCAGCAGAATTAGAGGAGGCTGGTTGGTGGGTGGTCAAACCACACCCACACAGCCCTAATGAAACCATTAACCCACTTTAAAAGTAGGGTTGGTGATTTCTTCTAGAAGATTTTTTTTTTTTTTTTACAGATCTTGAAATTGTCTTCACCTTTTGGCCATGAAAACATTAAATGCATTATGCACAACAAAGAAAGATCCGTCATCTGTGGCAGCAGCAGGGCTGAAAAACATCTGGCTGATGGATGGCCCACCTGCCTGTCAATCTACTTCCTACCTGCGTGTGTCCTGCCCGTGTGATCAGGGCAAGAGCCTCCCACAAGGTGCTGCAGTTGCAGGCTGATGTGTTACCACTGTTTTGATAACTAAAGCTAACGAGCTACGGCAGAGAAGGTTCCCACAGCAGCATTCGTTCTCAAACATTGTTACAGGCCAGGTCTTCCCCTTTAGGACATAGAGCCTTATAGGAAATGTTGTTGTTGCCAGAAGCTGTGACCTGTGTGTGCAGTGTGAGAGCAAGAAGATCATTGCCGGGAACAGACTCCTTTTACATGCAGCCAGACAGCAGGCAGCTCTAAGTGTATAGATGGGATTGTAATGCAGTTAACTGGGCATCAAAGGCCACATGCAGTGTCCGTGTTACAAGCCTGTGTTTTGAACAGAGTTAGCTGGCCTCCCTCTTCACTTCTCCCCACCTTCTAAGGCCAGTTAAGACTGCCAGCCAGGGCTAAAGCAATTTAGCCATAAACCAGAGGTTCCCCAACTATGGATCAGGGCTGCAGGTCTGGGCGGGTAACACTGTATTCGAGAAAGTTACAACTAAAAAGAAGTTGGATGCTGCAACATGAGTTTGGCTTTCGAACGACAACTGAGGGAACAAAAGGGGCTGAAAGGTGACACCATGGTGGCCGAGTTTCTACTGGACATGTAATTATCGGTTTTGTTTTGGGGGCATTTGTTCTTTTCCTGAAGTCTGTAGTAGTCGGGCAGTGTTTAGAAGTCAGAACGAAAGAGTGGGATTTCTTCGGTTGTCTACTTTCAAAGTCAAGCTTCCTCTTGCTGGTTTTTCCAGGATCGCAAACCCTACCTTTAAGATTTTTTGTATTTTAAGGTCTTGAAATCCTAAATTTAATCTTGTTTTTTTGTTTTGTTTTGTTTGTTTTTGTTATAACTGATTAATATCATAGAAATTTTTTTTGTTTTGTTTTGTCTGACAAACTGAGCAGTGACATCATTTCTGACCTCCATCTTTATCTGGTTTAGGAATCGTAGTCACAATTTAAGAAATTTAAAAAAAATTGAAGTCTGAGGAACCTGGGCATATTTTTCACCAGTAATTAGATGCTGTTCAGCAACGTTCGTGGTTTGTTCAAGATTATGGGGATTTGTCTTGCAGAAGATGAAACGAGGCACAAACTGAGGTCACATCAGTCCAGTGTTTTCTTTCCATATGGGCAGAAAGTTTTTAACTGTAGCTTGACATCAACCGGCTGTGGTGGGCATTTGACAGTCCTTTAAAATGACATCCTGGGATGCAAAATGGTGTAATTTGGACAGGTGTAACAGTTCCTGCCATACACACCTGTGCATCCCGTGGTTGGTGTGTTCATTTGGGTTGCTGCAGGACTGTTGAATCTCTGCTGATCCTGGGCTCCGCCCCTTCCTCTCCTCCTCCAATCAGGCAGCAGCTGGCGAGAGTTCTTCTGTATCTGTTGTAGTGATTTTCTGTTTCAATTGTTTTACGCTTCACACTACAGTAAAGTGTTCTCCATGTTGATATACCCCTCCCCACCTGACAATAATGTATCAGATCTTTAATTATTATCATGTTAAGAGTATACTTTATGCAAATATGAGTATGATGTGTATTGTATGTATCAGTGAAATATTTTTAAAATAAAATCATTTCTCTGTCACTGTGGACTCGCAGTGTCATAGTTGCCATTTATGTTTTTTTGTTTGTTTTTTTTTAAACTGCTCTGTATAGTTTTTTTTTGTTTAGCTGGTGAAGGTCTTCATGATGGTCTACACCTGAACTGTGCCTTCTGCCAATCACTGCAGCCCAGTGATATTTTTATATGTTGCCATGTAGCCGCTGGCAAGTCTGCCCTACAGTAACGCTGGCCCTGGTGCACACCAGCACAGCTGAATGGAGGTCAGTGAGTGATACAATCGTTTCTGCAGTATGTTTGTACATGGCTAATGCTCAGAGCTCTTAGGTGAAAGCATAATTTAAAATGGCCTTTTTGGTAACAGGAAATGAATATTCAGCCTCTCAGAAACCCTGTGAGCACATTCATTTTCTGGCCCCCAAAAGTAATTTAAAGCTGGAGCATATACTTTGATTATATAATGCAAGTGATCCGTCAGAGCAGAAGTAACATATGCATATTTAATCTCCAGTCTCCATTCCTGAGTCAGGCCATCGCTTGCTCTCTCTCAGTTAATGAACATGTATTTTGTCTGGTGCCAAATCTTCAGAAAACCTCCCAAAATAGTTCAAAAGTTAAACCTCAGAAGGCTTCTGGTTTACGTTCTGTGCGTCTTAATGAGGATGGCTGGAGAACAGCTACAGGACTGTGTATATATATATGTCTCTGGCTTCACAGCTATTGGCACAAGATGAAGATGAATTCACTTGAATGGTTGAAGGTCAAAACCCAAGACTCTGCTGCCGGTGTGTATTAACATCGCATATCTGGTTACAGTATTGCTTAAAGGACTCGGTCTCAATTTCCATCCTGTCTCCAATGATTTCCATGATGTGAAGACAGAGTAATGTGTGTAATGCTGCACCAGCCGTGATTCAGAGTAGTCATTCTACTCTGAGCAGGTCGGCGTACACAAGCCTGTGTCGCCCATTACGCATCTTACAACTAATACCTGGTATAAAGTGTCAGTATGAAGACCAGTACCAGCGTAGGACACAGCATTCTGGTCATTCACATAAGTAAAAATTCATGCAATCCAGTACTGGCAGTCTTTAAATATTGTTGAATATCTTAAACTAAACCATGCATCACATTTTATAAGTTGATCGTGTGAATGTGAATCTGCGGAGTGACTGGTAACAGCGGCTACTCAGCAGCTATGTTTTAGTGTTTAGTAACATACTTATAAAGCTGAGTTCTTCCCTTCATCAGGTGCAATAGATATCCTCATGTGGTGGAGGCTGGTCACACAGCAGCTTTGTAATATTACTGATCACTATTAGCTGAATTATACTTTTTTTTTTTTTGCCATTGGCAAACATTTTACTGTCATGTGAGCTTGTGCTTGTTTAGGTGAAACCTTTAGTCAGTCAAGATGTGGGAACGATGTTGACCTCCACCAACAGGACAATTAATGACATTACTCCTCGATTCAAATATGAAGATTTATGGTCACAGTTACAAATCAATTGTTAAAGTGGTCTTGTAGCACTAATACATGAGAACCACATCTGCTTGCTTTACTTTTGAAAATAATTATAAATAAGTGACTTACAAGGGAGTAGTGAATACTATTTATTAGAAAAACATCTTTCGTGACAGCCTGTGTGCTCATAGCAGTGGTGTGGGTGTGTTTTTCAGAGCTCAGTCAGGACTCAAGTAGGAGTGCAGCAAGAAAAAAAAACAAAACACAGACTTACAAAGAAACTAGGAACCAAATCAACTGGTACAAACTGCAGAACAAGAGGAACATCAGAAGAATTCAGGTCCATGTTATGTAAAACAACTCCATCCATACATTCACAAATGCATCTGCCTGCCTGGCCCTCACATCCACTTTCCAGTGAGGTACAGTATATCCCAGCAGCACAGCACGCTCACTTGCTTCATTATTGTGTAATACAGTACTCTGTCTTTTCACATGTATACAGAATGCAGAGAGGAGGAGGCCTGCTTGTGTGATATTATCCAGTTGTTCAGATGCTGTGTGAGAAAAGCTGCAGCACTGGTGTTTGGCCACTCAGGAGCAGGAGGAGGTGATGGGGACGAGGGGGGGACCAAGCTTGCATTCACACTGAAAGCAATAAGTGGAACTTTCAGCTGAGAACAGCTGGACAGTGTGCTTGATGGCTGCGGCAGCAGGCCAATCGGATTTCTGTGCTTCACTGAGTCACTATGTTCCAAGTTCTCTGAGCCTTTTACTAGAATACGAGTCTCACAATCGATGCTGAGAGAACAGTTGTGTCTAAAAGTTCTCTTTAGTGATTTGAAGCTCTGACTGTCTCAGTGTAGTGGTGTGAATAAAAGTGCTTGTTGTTGGCAGTGTGAACACAGGAACAGAGACAGAGGTGAAGTGTCTCTCACGCAGACGATGGCGGAGTGTCGGGGTCTGGCTCGTAGTGGTAAGAGGCCTGAGTGTGACTGCTGCTGTGCTGCTGCTGGTTGCTGTGGGCCAGACTGTGCGTGCCCTGGCTCGCACTGTCCTGAGACTGCTGGGTTGGGCCCTCGAACACCTGTGCTAACTGGGGGGCCATGCTGCTCTCCAGCCCCTGGCCGAGTACCAGGTGCTGGGGGTCGCTGACTGCCGGCGGGTGAGGCAAAGTGTCCAGCTCATCCACCTGAGGCCCTGGAGGGTGCATGACCACCAGCTGGTCCTGGGGAATGTCCGCAGCGGCTGCGGCCAGGTTAGTGGTGGACTTGGACTTGACACACTGGAAGTCAACGTGACGACTCTTTCCTTCCTCTTTCTCCCAGGACATACGGATGAAGGGACGCTGAACATAGTTGTAGATGACCTCCGGGCGCCCTCCAGGACGCCGCTTCACCTTCTCTTTGTAAGTCGGGTAGCCTGGAAGACAGACAGGAATGACAGCTGATGTTTAAGGAAACAACTGCAGCTGTCTGGTTGGAGTTAAAAAGACTGGCTGTACGTTTTGGGACATATGTTGATTATAATACCATTCTCATGTATGTATGTATGTAAATACATAGCTTGAGATAGCAGCTGGTAAGCTAACAATTAGCCTGGCTCAGTCCAAAGGTAACAAAACCAGGCTATCAACAACTCTAAAGCTTGTCGACTGACACAGTATATCTCATTTGTTCCCAAGTGTATGGGTCAGGCTGCAAGAAATGAATGGTCTTGGTCAAGAAGTAGTCAGGAACAAACCCCCTTGTCAAATGGTGAACTATTCCTTAGTGTTTTACCATTAAGCTAGTCCTTGAATCTGACATTTCATTCATTCTTTTGTTGTGGAACCTCCTGCCTCTGGTTCTGCCATTAAGGCAGACTGATGATGTGTGCCGACAAATAATACAGAAAAGCTTGGGAAAGGAGTCCGCTCTGTGAGCCAGAGGAAAGGCTGTAGGATTTCTCCTGAACTAGCGAAACTACTTCCATGACTGAAACATGCTCTTCTGTCGAGGTTTGTTGGCCCGCCATGGAAGTAAACAGCTAAGGACAAAAACTTAAGGAAAACAGTGTGACCAGTTGTGAAACACTGTGCAGTGTTGCTCCCATCTGAAGCAGAAGCAGAAGAACCCCCCCACTGAGAACCCCCAGTGAACGTTGCATACAGGATTCTGACTATAAATACTGGTTATTAGACGACACAGGACAAAATCCACTTTGGCTCAGTACCTTCTATTCCTAGTCGGATCTTCTTCAGTCCTCGGTCCTTCAGCACAGACTTGGCCACGTCTCGGTTCTCGATGTATTTGAAGAAGCGGTACAGTTTGGTGCTGTAGATGACTGTTAGAGAAGAGAGACAGTGTAAACATAAAGAGAGCATCTGAAGGCAGTGCTCCTCTTGTGACTTAAACTGTGGAATCTTTAACTTACTGACCAACTTACCCTTAGTCGGGTACAGCCGCACAGTGGAGACTCAACTAGTCCAGTTGGCCATCACATGGACTTATTACCGTGTCAGCAGGTTAATTATTCCAAATTTCTATCAATAATATGTCTACAGTGGCGGTTTTTGGCACGGGCGAACCGGGCAGCCGCCCGGGGCGGCATTTTTTCATGACACGTGGGGGGGGCGGCACAAGCACTTGGAAAGAAAATACTCTGCGCCGCTAAGCGGTTTTCTATTATCTATCATATGTGGCGCCCCTGCTGGATGAGAAGGTGCCGTGCACAGAAGCTGTGTGAGGGGAGGGGGTGGGGGTGCAGGGGGAGAGTTCAACGTAGAACCGCCACTGTATGTCTATATTACACAGTTGGGTAAAAACGAAGTAAAAATCAGCTGGTTCAGTGATCGTTTGTGTCCAATGCAAATAATGTTCAAGTTATTTCTTTTTAGCTGCTACAGACTCAAAACAAAGTGACACCACAGGCTGCTCTAACTGCTCTTTGCCCTTCTCGTCACATCCTGTTTTTGAGTGGCAGTGTAAACTTCTGCTGTTTCAAACAGTACAAGGCTAGTGTTAGTGTTAACCCTCTCCGTCTCACAAAGCCAAACTGATGTTTGTCTCTCTGGGCAAAAGAACGCGACCTCTGTGTCAGACTTTCAGCTGACAAGAGCTCCACCATGGCTGGCTGACACCACATCCTGTCCTATTTTCATCAGACAATGTATAAGTGTGCCTTCAATAACTATAATGTACATCGTACCAATAAGTTAGCATCGGAGCCCTTGATACTTTTCACCACAGAAATGTGAAGCTGCTGCTGTAACACACAGCAGCTTCACATCAGTAGATCTGATATCTGTGGTGGTGTCAGGTTAACTATGAAGCTGACTTGCTGCTACCAAAAAGAGGTCACCTGCTGTGCTAACTGTGTCACTGGCAGAGAGGATGACAATAGCTTACTCTGTGAGTACTCCTCTCCCATCTGTGGAGGGTACTCTTCGTCCCAGTCCACCACGTCATCGTCGGTCAGCACCACCACGTGGCACTCCCTCTCTCCGCTCTGAGCGCTGGCCACCATCAGCGGCAGCACCATCTCCTCCAGGTAACACTCAAACTGATGCCGGGCCCCGTCATTAGACAGCTCGTGCATCAGGGCGCCTGGGCAGGGAGGACAGACAGCACGGTCAAGAAATGATACTGCGCTCATGTACTTTTCCAGCCAGCATAACCAAAGAAAGTGTTACTGTCTGAATCAAATTTGAACCTGAAATGTCATCATGAGTAGCACTTTGTTACTGTTCACATGGAATAGTAGATATGTACTTTTTTCTGCTTAGTATTAATATGGTTTTTACCTGTTTTGATTATATTCAGATGGAGCAAAATGGTAGTAAAAAGGTCTGTGTTCACCCCAATCATCCAAACAGTCAGAGTTGTGTTAAGCCAGATTAATATAAAGACACACAGACACACCTACAGAAGTTCAAACAGCAGCATAACACACAAAATGAGCCAGCTGCTAGCAGGCACAAAAGGATAGTGAATATAAACAGGAACTGTGTTTACAAGGAAACAGGGCAGGGCACCTTTGATCCACTGACAACGAGACAATCATTATTCACTGTCATTAGTAAGGGTACAAGGACCTGGAAGTAAACAGAAACAGCAGAGCTATAATCTGTTTTATGGCTGTTTCCATAAACTTTAGAAGCTTACACATGGACCATACATAAGCTTTGAATGACCTTCTGTAAATAGTAATATTACCAGTTTACTTCCACTATAGTACAATATCCTCTTCTGAGCAGGGCAGTGTACTTATGGACCATTCTGGTTCCACAGCCTGTTGGGACCTAAATATTACCTCTGTAATCCTGCTTAAACACATCAAATGTGTTTAGAAGACAGTAAGCCATGGTTCACATGTTCAACCTTAGCCTGGGTTTTTTCAGCAACTGATTTAAAATAGACTATTAACCACAAAACTGTAAGAAGCACAAACTACTGGCTACAAATCACGAAAGACACTCTGTCACTACAAGGATCAGACCTGTGCACCTTGGTGGTGTCATGCCTGTGTAACCAGCAATACATCTCAAAAGTTAAGCATGACCTACTTAGAGCCCAACGCTCACTGCAGTCTGAGCTGAGGCTGCTCCTCCCGCACACAGACACAAACACGAGGTACCATATGCACGACAATGACAAATATCCCCAAAAACACATGCAGCATGCAACACTGTGACCAACGTGATATCATAGGTATGTTCAACGCAGATCTCAGCAGACACTGATGCAAACAGAGCAACGTCACACTTTCTCCATACATTCACCTCATTCACAATGACAACATAAAGGTCTCCATCTATTTTTAGCTCTGATTAGGAACTGACATTAACTGCTACACTGGCAGTACATCCATCAACAACAATGCCCCCAATGCTGTCTAAACTCTAAAAACGAGTCAGTAGCCATCTGGAGCCATCTAGTGTACAGTGATGCTCAACATTGTGCAATAAAAATAAAGGTCCGCGTGATCTTCTCTCAAGCAGTAAGACAATAACAACGAAAATGGCCTGTGCTCCACACTCACCAAACCCAGTACCTCCACAGAACTACATCAGCACCGCTCAACAGTTCAGACAGCAAGTCAGCAGCTCATCCAGCAGCATGCACATCCAGTTTACTCACTGAGGTCTCTGCACTTGATGGTGCTGTAGTTGAAGGAGATACAGAGGTAGTCACATGCCTCCCTCAGCTCGGGAATGGAAACGCCGTCAGGGCAGCGGATTATCCCCGACTTGTAGTAATCCTGCCATTATCAACAGCACACACACACACACACACGTATGCACACACATACACAGTGAAATGAAAAAATGTGTGGAATGGCGAGTGTTTAAGCTCACGCACTGGAGAGAAAAAGAGACGCCATTACTGATGCTGCTCCACTCACACAGGCGGCAGAGAAAGAGAGCTTGATGAAGAGGAGGGAGGGAGAGATGAAGAGCAAGAAGTGATGAAAGTCAAACACAACGTCACAGGAGAGAGAGAGAGAGAGAGAGAGGGATGGGGGGATGGGGGCTACCAACATCATTTTCCCTGCCCGCTCCACTTTCCCTCCTCTGTGCGTGTGTGCGTGTGAAGCCTGTGTCAAATGAGACGCTCCTGTTTCCCTGGAGAGTTTCCACTCAGACACTAGAGGCTGGGAGGAGACCCAGAGCACCACTCGCTCCCTGTTCCACCTGACTGCTTCACTCAGTCTCTTGACTCCTTGGGTTCCGTTTAATGCCAAGAGACAAACACAGTCACGCCATAATCCATTATGTCATAACCACAATCAAGCAATTGTCAACCATTTAGTAACACACTCACAGAAATCAGAGGCAAATGGATATTGTGCTGCACTTGCCAGACACATTTTGGAAACGGCATATGAACAGAAGCTAACCAGGAATGCTTTTAGGAGTCTCTTCAATCCACACCAGCCTGTCCACTCGTGCCCCATCTTGATGCTGTTGCCATGTTTTGTTCCCCTAATGATGATACTGCAATTTCCTGCCATCTCCAAATCATGTTGTGGTAACAGAGTGAGTGGGAATAAATACACAGCAAGTGCATAGAAATGTGTACACTGTAAAGCAATTCTCTAAATACAACCTTATTTAAAATGCTGTGTTTGGTGTAAACTAATACTTTAGCTTATTCTTGACCTTGGAAGGAGCATTTGAGTAAAGCATTCAGACCCAGGTGGTTTTAACACTAGAGGATGGGAGGGGGAAGAAAACAAATATATATATATATATA